AGTGATGCTTCGAACATTACTGACCAAAAGCATAGCAATGAATTCACAGTATTGGGTTGATCTTGTTTTTTTCTTAAATATTATTAGGAGCGTCCGCATTGGAGCTGGCCTCTCGCTCCGGGCTCCATGCGGGCTTGGGGCGGATCCCGAGGCTCGCTACCCCGGCACTGTCAGACTGGTGGAAGACGGGAGGGCCTGGCCCTGCCCACGGATCTCCCAAACCCGGACGGAGGAGGAGCCCGAGGGCATCCCCGCCAGGGGCTGCCAGCCTGGCAATGGGGGGAGGGAGCGCCCAGGCTCTGCTCTTGGGGCTCCCAGCCAGAGGAGGGCTCCGGCCCCACTTGGAAGCCCCGTCTAGGTGGAGTGAGACATTTAACACATGTCCTTTAAAAAAAGCTCGCTGCATGTCCCGCCGTGAAGAGCAAAGTTTAAGCCGTGAGGCATCTGGGGGTCCGCCTGCGTGCTTGGAAGAAGGCTATACCACCACCCAAGCACCCTTATAGTGTCCACCACCGTCAAGGCAGGGGCCTGCCAGCGTCTCCTGCGCGGTGGCATGGAGATAGGCAAGGACACACAGAGTCGGGACAGGACACCCAGGGAGAGGAGCTGGAGGGTAGGCTCAGGACTGCCCCTCCAACACAGTGGGAGGGGAAGCGGGACTCGCTTGCTTTTAGATGAGTTTGGAGCTGCAGGAACCCGAGGAGAAGCAAACCACTGACATCCGTGGTCCATGCCCTTGCAGGAACCAGCAGGGAGAATGAATGAAACCAAAGCCCCCACTGGGACCCTGTCCCTGCCCCTGGCCTCAGGCCCAGCCATGACCTCCTCTGCTTCTGTTGGGTGCTGGCTACCTAGGCTCAGAAAGCTTCCTTTTTGGCTTCCCTCCCCGCGCCTGACTTGGTTTTGGACACTCATTCTGAAAGGGGTCCTCTGAACCACACCACCACACCACTGAGCCTGTGCCTGGCAGGCAGTGTCCCTGGCGAGTCCTCAGGCCCAGCGCCTGAGCCCAGAGCTGGTATCCCCCACCCTCATGCCCCACAGAGCAGCCTCCCCAGAGGCACCTTACAGTCAAGGGGAGGTTTGAGGTACCTTCTAGACCATGATCTGCCACTCAAATTTCTGGCCGTCGAGTTTCTGCCCACTGAACTGCCCAGGTCACCCTCAGAGAGGCTCACCCCTGCCTGCCTCCTCCTCTTCCGGGGGGCCCAGGCTTCCCTGGCATCTGCTTCCCCAAGGCCTTCTTGCAGGGGACCCTCCCCAGCCCCATGTCCCCTTGGCTTTCTCCTTCCACCCAGCATGGCTCCCATTGCCTGCCATTCTGCCAATGTTGTTGGTCCCCACCCCTCTCCTGGTTTTCAGTGTACCCATCCGGCACCCTCTGGCCACACACAGCCCTGCCTCTCCTCAGAGCCTGCGCCACAGTGACACCATGGCCTCCGCCTGCTATGGACATCCCCCCACTGCCCAGCCCGCTCATGTGTGGTCAGCTCTCTTCCACCTTGCAGTCTCCCCAACCCTCTACCCCAACGTCCTGTGTCTCAGAGATGACCCCCTGCCCCTCCTTCACAGAGAAAACAGAAGCCATCAAATGGGAGGCCTCATGTTGCATCACCAAACCCCAGGCCCCCCTCTCCCACACCCCACGTCCTCCTCCACCGTCGCCACGAGGCTCTGCCCCCCTCCCCCGCCCGCCTCCCCACCTCTTGGCGTTGGCTATGCATGCCCCCGAATCTTCCCCTTTCTAGGGATTCTTGCCATCAGGACCCAACTCGATGTCTCCCCCCTTAAAACACTCTACTAAACCACCCACAAAGCTGTTTGCCCAGCCACTTGCCACCCTAGCTTTTCTTGCCCGCCTGTGAACTTCTCTGAAGCATCACTCTAGCACGGCCCGCCTCCCGTGGCCCAGTTCCAGGTCTCCAGGGACCCCTCTGCTCTGCTTATGCATTTCCACAGGTGAGCAGCTCCCAGCAGGCAGCCCATCGCTCCCCAGAAGCAGCTTCTCCAACTAAGGATGAATAAAGGGACCCCCTGGGTCCCCCGCGAAGGGCATATGGACAGTTAAAAGTGCCACGAGGTGGGCTGTGCAGGGGCCGCAGGCCTGCAGACCTCACTGAGGCTCGCCTTCACCTGCCCCAGATTAAAACCCAGGGACACAGGCAGTTTCGATCTATATTTTTAATTGGTGGGTGAGTGTCACGGTCACGTTTGTTTTGGGAAGGACGGCACCGGCAGCAGTATGGAGACAGAGTGAGACAAGGAGCGGAGAGGCTGGCAAAGCAGCTGCAGAATCAGACCCGCCCCTAGGGTCCTCTGTCCCTATTTGTCCCTCCAGAGCTGGCATGCCGGGTGCAGCCCTCGCTCCGCACTCTCTGTAGGCGGTGATCACACGCCCCTTGCCTCCCAGAGCCTTGCTGTCTCCGAAACCCCCAAACTGTGTTCCCGTCGCCCTCTCTCCAGCCCTGGCCTGTGAGACTGGAGGCCAGCCAGGGACCTCTGCCAGGAAATCCCCCGGGCGGCTCGCCTCTCTATGCTGTCCAGTGACTCCCTGCGTCAGCAGACAGAGGGCCGACCCTTTCTCTCTGACCCATCCACTCTGTCTGCAGGGCACCCCTCCCACCAGACCCCACACACCGACCTCCCTGCCGAACTCCACTTCGCTAATAGAAATGTGATCACATCACTCTCCCTCCAGCCCACGCTGGTAAAAAACAAACAAACAAACAAATAGAACCGGGAATACCTGCCGATGCCTCCCTACCACCCTGAGGATGTAAACCAAGCCCCTGATCTGCATGCAGTCAATACTCGTGGATTTATTCATCCAGCAAATGTTTATGGAACTCCCACGGTGTGTGTGGCAGGAGGGACGGCGAGTGGCCAGGTCATCCATGATGAGCCCAACGCGCCGAGCATGACCAGGGCAGGGGAAGACAGACGAGGGTGGACAAATGGACGCAGATGATCCAAGAAAGGGGATGATGGGCTCATTGTCCCTCTTAGACCGACAAAGAAAAGCAAAGAACCGCTAACACCAAGTCCATTATCAGTTGACTGTGGATTGGCCCAAGCTTAGTGGAGAACAATTTAGCACTAACTGTTTACAAAAACACAGGCCTTCAACCAGCATTTCCACTTCTAAGAAAGTGTCCTGTAGAAACACATCCGTAAGCTCACGATAGGAGGGTTCTTCTTCCGGAAATTGCCTGACCACTCATTGGTAAAGGATCAATTAAGTAAGTCACAAAACACCAACTATAAGAAAGTTGAGAGGTCTCTATGTCTATACATATTGTAGCTACACATGCACGTGTGTGTGTGTAATGCACACACAGCGTGCCCCCTCAAAACGCACTAGTGCACATGAGAGGAAGGCAGGGGCGGGCACCCACCCGGACCTGCTAGAGGGGTCCGCAGCGGGTGGCAGCACAGAGGTCTCACTTTTCAGTCTGTTTCAATTCCTTACGGAAATCATTTAGTGCTGGGCAGTGGTGGGGGGAGGGAGAGACACAGCTGCTGGGGGTCTCGCAGTTGCCTCTGTGGGAACTGAATGGCCACCTGCTGTGGACGTGCTGCCCATGCCCAAGGGTCACTCGTCTGCCCATTTTGGGGGTGGGACGCCCCCCAGGATGAGACGTGGTAGGTGGAACCCAGCCCTGTTAACTGCGCCCCCCTGCCACCGCCCCCCCTCCGGAACTGAGTCCTTCTGTCTGGGAGGTTGGGCCCCCACCAGGCTCCGGGAAAGTGTCCCCTCCCAGAAGGCTCTGGAAGCGAGGTCTGGCGGCCCCCAGCACTTCCCGGTGGAGTGGGATACCTCTTCCCATGCCATCGGGTTCAGTCACCCCTTTGCTGCTCCCACAGTGCTACCCCGTGGGCAGGACAGGGTGGGAGGGATGAGTGGGGGCGCCGAGGGAGGGCACTGGGCCCGGCGGTATGTCCAGCTCCGCCTTCTCCAGGAAAGACTATTTAGCTCTGGGGTTGCCAGGGACCGGCTCGGTCTGGACCGGGGGCAGGTGCCGGCCTGCCCTCCCCCAACGCGGAGGGCTCCCCACGTGCTGCAGAAGGGTGGCTCTGGGTGGGGGTGGCCCCTGCACCTGCCGGCCCGCTGCCCCGTCCAGCCCCGCTGCCATGGCCTGGCTCCCGGCGGTCACCCTGGGCTGCATCAGCCTCCTCTGCCTGCAGCTCCCGGACGCGCTGCCTCTCCGCCAGGGCAGGAGCTGGCGGCCTGCCAGGCCCAGGTGAGTGGGGCCCAGCCCAGCCCGCGCCCTGGCTGAATCCCCAGAAACCAGACTGCCTGGGCATGCCCAGCGTCGGCCCCCAACTGTCTCCAGTGTGCACCGCTCAGAGAACCCCCTGCCCCACCGCCTGCCACTGGAGCTTACCTCAAGCCTTCAGCAAGTCCCAAGCAGTGCAATAGCCCCCCACGCCCCCGCCCCCATTCTGTGCCTGCTCTCCTACGGCTCTGTGGAGCAAGCAGCCCCTCAACAGGAGAGGTTTGCTAGCAGGTGGAAGGCTGGAGGGGTCCCCAGGCCTTCCCTCTCTCCAAGGGAAGGGCTGAGAGGGGGTCACTCTGGCTCTGAGTGTGGTGGCTCACAGACGCCTGGCTGCCCTTTGTGACCTGGACTACTGGGATGGCTGAGTAGCCAGGACCCAAGGCCTGAGCTCAGAAGGCACTTAGGGCTTCCCCTGCCAGTGCTCCAGGTGGGAACTGCATGGATCTGGGGGCCCTTGGAAGGCTGGGTCGTGGGCTTTACTTCCTCTGTCCCCGTCTGCAGGGGGCCCCCAGCCTGGCTGTCTTCCAGTAGCCTGCAGCCCCAGCATCCTGCACCCTGGCCCGCTGTCCGGAAGCCACGCCAGGCCCTCCACGTGCAGCGGAGCACCGGCCTGGGCCCTGCTGTGGGCCAGCCCCTCCAGAACGGCCCCCGCCGACATCTGGGCCCCCGCAGGCCCAGAGCGCAGCTCCTGCGGGCGGGCTGTGGGCTGGGTACCTGCCAGGTGCAGAGCCTCAGCCACCGCCTGTGGCAGCTAGTCGCATCGGCTGGCCCACGGGACTCGTCCCCCGTGGACCCCAGCAGTCCTCACAGCTATGGCTAGGGGTGGGGCAGCCCATACTTCTGCCTGTTCCAGTTAGACCCTGCACCCCAGTCCCCAGCTCCACCTCGGCCCTCCAGGGCTCCCACAGACAGCACTAGCTTTACTGGTGGCGCAGGCCCCTTAGATGCCCTCGCCCCCCCTCCCCGACGTCCCCCAGGCCCTGCAGCAGCCAACCTGGAATGGCTCTGGACCGTAGACTCACGGACGTGTGTAGCCCCAGGCAGGCCTGTGGGCAGAGTGCTTGTGCCCGGGGCCGTACACGTGCAGAGTGTGCACACTCAGGAGGTGGCCAGCAGCATGACATGAGGAAAAGGGCTTCAGAGGGGGAGGAGTCTGCCCGAGGATGTGCGGCAGGAGTCAGGGCCCCAAACACCCAGGGCCACGTCCAGGCAAGCAAGAGAGAGGAGCCAAGGTGGCCCAGCGTGGCCCCCTCTCTGTGGGTGCCCACATTGTCCGATTACATCCAGCCTGGATTGCACGGCTGGCCGCCCAGCTCCTCCGCCCCGAGCTCTGGAGACCTGGAGGGCAGCGGGAGGGGCCCACTGTGGTCTCCGGGGCCAGGTGAGGGAGGGCAGCCTTGCCAGGAACTGTGCTGCTCCAGTCGCAAAGGCCATGGTCACGAAGGAGACCCCTGCCCGGACGCCCTGTGGGGAGCTGGGGAGCGGCAGTGGGGGTTCAAGAGCCACACTGGGGCCTTCTGGGACAGAGCAGGGCAGAATGTGCCCCCCCACCCACCCACCAGGGCGGGGCGGGGCTGTGCGGGGACAAGCTCTTGCAACCCGAAGCTCAGTTAAATCGGAACCCACCGTCACATCGAGGGGATCCAAGGGCGGGGCTCCACAGGCTCCTGACGCCCACTCTGCCCAGTGGGCTTGCCGGGTAACTGGGCAGGGCGCTGGCCGCGGGGATGAGAACAAGGTGTCCGGCCTGCGTGCACAGTCGTGGCGTGTGTCCCTCCAGTGGGCAGTCGGCCGTCTCCAAGGGCTGGCACCCCACGCCACACGGGCAAACACTCATTCAGAAGTGATCTTGTCACTATTTGCCCATGTCGCCCAGTCAGCTCCCCGGGTGTTCAGAGGGGAGGCTGTCATTATCCCAACTCTGGGGGCAGAAACTGTAGCCACAGAGGCCAGGGACAAGCCCACGGTCACTGCAGTACCTGCCCACAGAGCCCAAACTCAGGATCACCAGCAAGCAGCCTGGATCACCCAAGGGCAGGAGGGTCCTGGAAGGGCCCTTCCCGGCTCCACTCCCCTGCTCACTGTCGTAGCCCAGGAATCACCTGGCCAGGGAAGATGCCTTCCCTCCGCTAGGACCTGAGGGGACAATTCAGGCTGGTTCCTGCCCCGCTAGAGACCTCCGTGAACAGAGAGACAAACTGAGGACTGCAGGAGTCCCCAGGGGAAGGAGCTAAGGGTGCCCAGATCCCAAGCCCGAGGAGGCATTGGTGTGGCTGGGCGAGGCTGCCCAAAGCACTAAGGGAGGCTGGAACCTGTGGGCCGGCCTCGCAGCCACGTGCCCGTGGTCACCGGAGGGTGTCAGCAGAGGCAGGCAGGGAGGGTGCGCAGTGAGGACGAGGTGCCAGGGCCTGGGGCGTGAGGGGAAGGAAGGGTCCAGTAGGGCCACGCCAGGGCAAGTCAGGAGCTCAGCTCTGCCAAGACCCTCCCCAGCTCCTGGCCCCGGGCGAAGTCCTGGGCCTGAGTGTGGTCTGGCTCTCCGGAGGATGTCCCTCTGTCCCTCTGCTGGGAACCAGGCCTGAGGATCGCACCTCACTCCTCGCCAAGGCGCTCCCCAAGCCTTGGGCCCTTCCCGAGCCTT